ATTGACAATTGAAATCAACCACTACAAAACTTAAGGTGATTGGCTACAAATCTCTTCTCTTCTATTGGTCAACATACATTGGTATAATGTTAATTATCCTCTCCAATTGGTTCAATTAATTTTTTAAGTATACATCTTTTATTTTTTTATTTTTAATTATTCGTGTACTGCTCTTTTTGTTTTCAATTTTTGAATTGAAAAATTGAAATCCACGGGAGCATTAATTTATCACTTTCCACGAGAGCGTTAATTTCAAATTCAAATTTTACGCAGCAACTTATCGCAAGAGCATTAATATCTACCATTTTTTCCATTATGCTGCATGTTGACAAATGAAAAGAGATGTTTCAGTTTTCAATACATATATTCTCGAGACTCTGCTGACTGATCTTAGCACTCTCTTCTCATAATTCAAATTTTAAATTTTAATTTGTTATCTGAAATATTAATTTCACATCATCTCTCAAATCAGTCTTTTCATCTTCTTCCTCCTTCATTCTCATCACTTATGTTAATGGAAGCCTTTCATTTATTCAGATGCTGCTTAAATCTCCACCTATGGAGCCATTAGAGTGACAAGGTGAAGCCAGACACTTCCTCTGCAAAATCTAGGGTTAAAGTTAAATCGGAGTGAGACATGAGGTTGGTTGGTGGTACGACTAAGGGTGGCATGGGCATGCCCAAGGCCTCTAAGTCAGTATCAAAGTCCCAGAAGGTTGGCTTTTATTTCCTTGTCAGAAGGATCGATCGCTTCCTCAAGACTAGCAAGTACGCCGAGCATGTCAGTGCCGAGGATCCTATTTATCTCTCTGATGTTCTCGAGTATCTTGCTAGGTTCGTTAACTCTCGCTCGTGCTTCTTTAAATCGCTGACCACGTGGGCGAGTGGAATCCTAATCTGCTTCCCTTCAGAGCTTTCCATCTTTAGCTTCGGTGCTTGAGATTTGAGAGCTGTCAGGGTCGCAACACAATTCGGAAATCTGGGGAGAGCTTTAATGGGCTTAGGGGCTTTGGCAGATGATACAATCCTCGATAACTCCTTAAGCTTAGCCATAGATTACAGTGTTTTTCCCGTCAAATCATACAAGGGAAGAAAATGAACACAATAGAAATGTTGGGCAAGCAATAAATGAGGTTTTGGTTCAAGGCCTTCTTGTCAGCACTTGGATTTCTGATTTTGATGCGTATGGAGTTTGCAGGGATTCTTGAGATGGTAATGAATAATTATCTGGGATTCAGATCCACATTATTCGAAAACAGTGGAGTGCTTGAATCCTTAATTTGTATAATCCATGCGAGATGGAAAATATATGATTTTTTTACAGCAAAAAATAATAAAAAGAGGTGAATTTATAATTTTTAAAATTATAAAAAATATATTTTCACTGGCAGTTTGGCAGGCCAATTTGCTGCGACTTGTGTGAGTTGGCAGAATTACAACACGCACAAGATGCAAGTTATCAACTTATCCTGCAAAACTTGCAACCCACAACCTTTGAGTTGGCTTACATTACCAACTTTACTTTTAAATGATTTTTTTCTGCATGTGTACTAACATATACATGAACATTACAAGACACTATATATATATATATATATATATATCTATGTACTATTACTATTATTGTGAGGTTCAAGACTTGAGCGTGGACGGTTTTACAACTCTTGCAAGAAGTATATAAAAGAAGTTGTTCCTGATGAAGCTAAATTTTATTGTAAAAAGTTTGAAACAATTGTGAAGAATATAGAAGTTGTTTCAAGATATATAAACTTAATTAGTCTTATATCAACTACTTGAGCATGTGTTTACTGCTATGAGTTATTACATATTATTTATTCACCAAGAAATTTTTTTGTATTGTTTTGCTCGTGTAAATATTAATATGTACTGATTTTGTTATTCAATACTTAGATGAATTTTTTTAAAAATAATGTCCCGTGCAACGCACGGGTGATAAACTACTTAAATAATTATAAGTAGAGTTATTCAATTGACAATTAAGCAAACGATGATTAACAACTATCTGATGTTGGGAAATATGTGATCTCCCCTCCCCAAAATCTCTCTCTATATGCATTTTGGTGTCGGGTTCATCCATCATTGTCTCTTCCATTTTTTCTTCCATCTAGTTTTCTCTAATTCTCTCATTGCCTAATACGGCCAAACATGTCCCAATTCGACTTTTTTGTTCACTAAATCGCCCAACCTGTTTGAAAATGCCATTTGAAATGTGGTTGTGGGAGATCGAATCACAAATCTCTATGGAAAAATCACAAATACAAACCTTCGAAGATCACAAATAACTAATCGGGACCACAAAACCACGAAATTAAATTTTAGGATCGTGGCCCCTTTGTTTTGTAGTTTTGAGATTCATTGGTAGTGAAATTGTTTTAGTTTAGTTGGAAATTTAGTTTGAAAGGTTTTATAAAATTATTTTATTTGAATTCGAAAATTTTTAACTCCCAATTTTACAATTGGCCAACTTAAAATTTGATAGTGACAAAATCATTTTAATTGGATTGAAAATTTAATTGAAGGGATTAAAAAATTGAAATTTTTTTACTCCCGGACTAAGAAACTTGGTCATTGTAAAAGAACGTTTTTGTCAAATTATTAACTTTACAACTAAACAAAGCACTGTGATCCAAAAATTCAACTATATAATTTCGTGGTTTTGAATAATAACTTGCATTAGTGCTTATTTATGATTTTTCCTAATCTCCATATTCATATCAATTTTGCTGTGGACTGGTCAATGGCAAAGATTTGCGAAACGTAGGACTCGTGTGGGACTCCTCAAGCTTCAACAACCACTGAATTGGCATTATGAAGATTTTTCTTTATATAATTTTGACTTCAGATATTGAATTAATATTTTTTGATGTAATATAGGGAAAACATCATTCAAGGACTGCTGACAATATTTAATATTAATTAAGGATCAAAAGATTAAAAGATATTAATGCAGGATCAAGGGATTAACTTGAAAATAATTTTAAATGAAAAAAGACTATAATGCCCTACCTTTCTTTGTTAATTGACAAGTAATAATTCGTTAATTAATAAGCATTCATTCAAATTTAATAAAAAGCCAATTGCTAATTGATAAATTTAAAAATATAAAAAAGTTTGGTTGTGAGAAGGGACAAGAATAATTGATGTTTCAACAAGTAACCATTTGTTGATTAACAAGTACTCATTTGCTAATTAATAAGTTCAAGAATTTAAAAATGCTTGGTCGTGAGAAGGGATAAGTGTAGATTATATTTCAACAAGTAATTATTTATTAATTAATCAGTACCTATTCGTATTTAATAAGAAACTATTTGCTAATTGATGAGTTCAAACATTTAAAATCGAAAAGAACTCAATTTTGGGAAGGAAAAGTATTTCAATAAGTTATCATTCATTAATTAACAAGTACTTATATGTATTTAACAAACCATTCGCTAGTCGACAAGTTTTATAAAAAAAACAAGGGTATTATGATCTTTTTAAACATTAAAAATGATTTTCAAATCAGTTATTTGGTTTAGCAGTGATATTTCAGAATTTTTTTTTTGTTCGTGTTTGAGATTAAATTTACTCAGTGATTCTTGAATGATATTTCTTTACTTTGAAATTTGCTTAAAATTATTTTGAATAATCAGTAAATTCAGGACCATTCGTTTTTCTTTTTCTTTTTTTTTCTTTTTATTTTTTTTTCTTTTTTTATTTTTTTTTGTTTTTTTTTAATAGGGGTCAGTCACAAACATTCCCACCCACCTATATATATTTGCAATCATTTTCCGCATGAAAGGAAATATTCTCCCTTCACACCTGTTCTTGGGACTCAAATTTTCTTTTTGTCTCTTTTATTAATTTTATATAACCTGTATGATCTAATATTTTGTTTTATCTTTGGCAGTGAATATTTCGTTTTGATGTGAAGAATTCGGGATGAAGAATTAACCTTTGCAATGAATGTATAACTTGTATTTATATAACTTCACATTTTAATGATTTTGGAGAATAATGAGGATACAAGTTATATTTCCAAGTATTTTTAACTTTAACTTACTTTCTTATTTTTAGTAAGCTTAATTTTATCCTTATTAAATATACACATTTTTTCACCTACATTTAATGGAAGGTAAAAGAGAAACTTTTGATAAAAAAAACTAATGACATGATTTATAAATTAGACAAAAAAGTTATAATCTTTATGCCTTACAAATAGGATTGGAGGCAGTTATTTATTACTAATAATAATACTATAATTGTTTATTTTATTAGTGAAGTAATTATTCAAAGTGTTTGATTTCTAGTAGGGAGCATCACTTAAAAGACGATGACATTTTAAATGGTGTTTAGATTCCTTAAGAGATCAATCTCATGACTGTTGGCTATAAAGATACTTTAGAAAACTAAAAAAAATTATTCAAAAGTTTTCATATTCTTTATTTCCTTTTAATTGAATCTATAAAATAACTTTCATGCTAAAATAGGAACAAGACATATAGCGAAATCAGAAAACTAGGGCATTTTAATTGCGTGAAAATATTCTCTTATTAAAAACACTCTTGAATACTACAAGTGTGAATGTATATATAAATATATATTGAATGAATAAACGTGAACAACTTCTTCTTTTGTTTTGTTTTGTTTTTTTTTCCTTTTTATGAATAAATGTGAACATCTTTACCGGTAAGGATTGAAAGAACCACATATTTTTCCTTTTACGTGGAGGCAGTAAAAATAAATTAGCAAGAAAGGAAGTGAGGAGAGATAACAGATAAGGACACTTTTCCATCTCAATATCAGTGGACTTTCATAGATTATGAGATGTAATCTATTACCAATATACACTACAATATTACAGACATTCACCTTATTTGATATATATATATATATATATATTTATATAACATCCTTGATTAGTTTTGTCTACTGATATTAAATTATAACTCAAATTTATGTCTGTTCTTTGGGGTACAATAATTCTTTTATCCTAAGACTCACCGTAGCCACCAGTTCTGAGACTCAGAATTATCAGACGAGAATGAGGAAAACTTGAAGAAAAGAACACGATTAGCTCTAATTCCTCTCTCACCACTGAGTACAGTTCTAATCCCACAACCCAGAAAGTCTCTGCAAAGAGGACAAGTAAAGTTGCTGAACCCAATCCATTGATTCAAACAAAGCCTATGAAAAACATGCTCACACCTCAGTACTCTAATTTCGTCTCCTTCACCAATCTTGCTCAGACACACTGCACAGTCCACTTCTTCTTCTTCTTCTCCACCAGCACGCCATATCTCCAGTTCTTCTTCTTCTTCTTCTTCTTCTTCTTCTGTAACGATCTGATGAAACTCTTGAAGCAGAGGTTGATGATGATGAACACGCATGCTGTAAAATGGGTGGTAGAGAAGGAACTCAAGAACCCATTTGAGGTAGTTGAAGGACATGCTGAATAGTTGAAGAGAAAATCTGGAGATTATTGTTACAACATTGGACATGTTTTTGGGATTGAACTTGTGGTTTTGGAATAATGTTAGTGCCTTGGCCTGTGTATATTTATAGAGGTATGCACATTGTAACATCTTAATTTTTAGGTAAAAAAATATGAAATTTAAGTTAATAATAGGAATTTATATTATTTGAGATTATTTAGAAATAATAATATGGTTAGAAATTTAATTATGAATTTAAAACTTAAGTTTAAAAATTATATAAGAAATATTTTATTAAGATATAATTTTAAGATTTAGAATAATAAAAAAAATATGTGTGTGTGAGTTAAAAAAAAGAAAAGAAAGTAAAAAAAAAAAGAACTGTAGAAGTCTCACATCGATTAGATGTGGAAATAGAGAAACGTTCCTCGTGTATAAAAGAGTGACGCAGCAGGCGTGAGGAGACGCAGAACGAAGAAAAAGAAACTTTTGCAATTTGTGAAAATTGCAATTAAAGACTCAAGATATAATTTGTGAAAATTGTAAATAATGGCCCAAAGGTTTGAATAATTAAATTCAAACCTATAGTTTTTTTAATATAATTTTGGGACCCACAATCCTATTTTTATATTATTTTTCTCTCTTTCTCTCACATTGCTCGGCGTTTTCTCGCAAGGGGAGATTATTTTTTTTTCTTCAGGTATGTTCCAACTTTCCTGTTTAGATTAGCATTTAAAAAATTTATTTAAGTATAAAATTAATTTTATAATTATTTTCTAAATAATATTATCTTTCTAGTGATATGATTATTTTGTAGAATAGAGTAAATATTCTGATTAGGATTTTTTTATAGGATAGTTAATCTGATGATATAATGGATTAAAAATATAGGTTAAAGCTCTTAGGGATATAATAAATATTATAGAATATTTTTTTGAGGTTGAAACTCATGTTTAAGAATTTTTAAGTTAAACTCTAGATCTATATGGTTGAATTTATGTTGAATCTGAGATGTAGGGATGAACCTCTGATTATTAAATATTTATTTAAGTATGAATAGGTATTTTTGAGGTTATAGAAAAGTAATTTGAGACTTCAGGATAATTCTAAAATTTTTAATTTATTTTTGGACGAATTTTTAGAATATAGAAGGATGAAATTGTGATACTAGAAGTGATTTGAGGTTTAAAAATAGTTTATTAGGGTACGAGAATTTTAGAAAAGAATTTGGAAAGTTAAATGAGGCATAAATCTTAAATTAGTGTTAATATGGATTATAAATCTAAGACTTTCTAACTTTTTAATTAGAGTTATTTATTTTAATGTAAAATTAATATATACTATTATGAAATAACTATGTAGATTGTGTTGACAAAGATAGTGGTGAAAGAGGAGTTGTGAAGGGAAACTTGTTATTCAAGACACAAGGTAACTATTATTAATGTGTTGTGATGAGTGTGTTTGTGAATGGTTATGTATTGACTTGTTGTTTGGAAAAGTTATGAATTATTGAAAATAAATACTGTTATATACTTGTTTGAAATTATTGTCAAGTGAGTTAAAAATTTATTTTTGTTTATCATGATGAGATATTATTGTTCAGATATATTCTTGTTTGGATATTTAAATGATGCATGACTTGTCAGGGTATTTTAATATATGGTGTTATTGAGAATTTCTGTTCGGTTAATTATTACCACGTGGTAAGCTCTCATTGGACCCAATGAGTGGCGTGTCGCTTGGTCCAACACACCTTTGGCCGGGTGATTTGGCGTCCGAGCATAGCGAAAGAAGGATATAAGGTGCAGTCATGCAATTAAATACTTGTTCGGTTTGTTTGAAAATATTGTTCGATTAAATGTTTTTGTATGCCCACTTAGCAATCGCATGATTAGTTACATCCGCATGCATTATTACATATTAATTTTTGGTTACTGGAACTTTTAAATCTCATTCCCTGTGATTAATATTTTTACAGGAGAGAGTCCGACCGAGAAAGCACCAGAGGCATAACTTTGGTGTATGAGGCACCATCTTTTACGTTGCCTCTTAATTTAGATTATACAATGTATCTTGTGTCAACTTATGACATATCTTATTTGTGAAGCATGTAAACTCTAATCTTTTTTTATTAAAAGTATTTATATGACTAAGAGGATTATGTCTGTCCCTCTTAATTTATGATCTGATTTGAATATCATGCCATGAGGATTATGTCTGTCCCTCATGATTCTAATTGTTTTTTTTTTTTGAGATATTTTAAGACCTGTGATATCTTGTTTTGGATGTATCATGGTAGAAATTTTTTTACCATGATAAGGATATGATAAGGGTTCAATAAAAAAAATAATTTATTGAATTAATAATCTATGAAAAATTAATTTATAAATTTGAGGTTGTTATACACGTAATATTGAGCACGCAAAACATTTCACCAAATTAATTAGTTGGCATTGAAGTCGCTTTCTGGATGATGACTTGAAAATGTGAACTGTGATAGGATTGTGTGGTTCACATATATTTTCGTCTAAACAGTAAACAAGATTCGTCCAATAAGGATTAGTTAATGCGGATTCTTTTGATTGTATTGTTTTATCAATAATTCGACAATAATATAACCTTATGTAATTAATTATATGAGATTCATTGACGGCGAGTCTATTTAAATGTGTGGGACTCATTTTTAATTAAAAGGAAGGTGCGAATTTGGAAATTTTATTTAAACATATAGATGTCACTTGTGATTTGCTGAAGAAAGATTATATGTATATTTTTAGTAAATAAAGGTTTGGGTGGGATGGTTTCGAGATTTCATTAATATATTTTTTTAATTAACTAGACCTACCTTTGTTAATTATTATAGTATTTCTATTTAAGATTATTATGTAATTTTTGGATCATCATTTCTAGGCCCAATTCTTTATTCTAGGCCCAATTAAACTTCTGACCCAACAATTTTTCTATTATTATCTTGCCACAATCTTTTACACTTTAATACAAATATCTAGTATTTCAGGATTAGTTTGGATCAAAATCCTGGAATACTAGAGATTTGTACTGAAAAAAAGAAAAGTATTTTTGGATGATGTTCTAAGGGAAGCAACTGGGGAAGGGAGGTCTCAATCTATAATTAAATACCAGGTCGGAAGATATCTATTACTAGATATGCTCTTGTCGGTTCAAACTTTGTCTTTCCCAACTTTCATAATAGTTTTTCACTTGAACACAATCATGGCAATCTTTTTCACAACATCCGTTTACTAAGCTTTTATATGGAAATATTTTTTATGCACCAAATTAATTTTGAACGGAACAAACAATTTACTTGGACCGACCAAAATTTATGAACGCACAATTCATGGTCAAGTCAAGTGCAATTTATTGTAGCTCAAAAAAATTACTTAAATAAAATAAAAAAATCAACTTTAATTTATTATCATGCTTCTTCATTTTAGGGATTTAATTGAGCACCTAATTGAGGCCAAATAAAAGACATCACATCTATGGCCACGACTGAGCAGGACATAATGATGGTGTGTGTATCTAAATCAATATTTTTTTAATCCTATTTATAAATCACTTTTAACATGTTTAATTAGAATTGAAAAAAATTTTAAAATTTATTTACTTTGTCTAAAAATTTAATAATTTCTCAATTTTTTTCCTATTAAACATGCATACTTTAATAAAATATTTTTTTCTCTCAAACATTCAATAGAAAGCAAATGGAAGAATTTATGATGAAAATTAAATGAGATGATTTATAAATATAAGCAAAAAAAAAATATCTCTTCCCAATAAATTGGCCTTGAGGGAGTAATTCAAATGAGCTTTTGCAAATATAACTAATATTATAGGATCAAACTAAATAAATAGCTAAACATTTATTATATTTTACATTATTGTCGATTTATTATATTTACTCTTGATATATACCATTGTATATCAATAATAAACCGTTTGTAAATTTTTAAATTTTCAATGATAAGCTATTTTTATATTAATGATAAACTCCTTGTATATTAATGTGAACTTGTTATACTCCCAAATGTTCAAAAAGTTGGTCCATATTTTTAGGCAGAAGATTCATTTTTTGGCCAGTGCACCAATTTATCCTAATTCAAATTTATAATCCAAAAAAAAAAAATTTGTCCTTGGATGCGTGAAAAGGAAAATATACGGAAACAAAATTTACTTTTTGATTGAAATTATTCGAATTACGTTGTATAATATTTTACGTAACTCTCTTAATTTTAATATACATATATATATACTTATTTTTAAAATTTGAGAATTAACAGTTAATAATTTTAAATTTGTACAGATATTTAATACGTTATTTTACTAATAAAGTATGATATGTCAACGAGTTGTTTATATGTAGTCAAAATTTTAAATATATAATACACGTAGAAAAATTTCATAAGAATTCATTGTCATCAATAAAACTAAGGACTCTTTAATTTAATTTTTTTTAATTTATTGATGGGATAAAGTTTAAATCTGGGAAAAGGTTTTAGGGAAAATTAAGGTGAGTGATATGATACTGTTAAAATTTATTATAAAGGACCACAAAAATTAAAATTAGAGTGAAAAGTAATTGACAGTTACAACCCTGTTATAAGATTGTGCAGTTTTGAATTCCACACAGAAAATAAAAAGGAGCATTAAATTCAATTAAATCAATGTAATTTTAAAAACTATTTACTTTTAAATAATTGAATTAATATAAATTTAAAATATTTACTTTTAAAAAATTAAATCAATATAATTTAAAAAATTATACTTGTAGAGAATTACTACATTTTCAAAGAATATCTTGTCTCAATCTCTACAATTATGAATTTTCAAGGGAGATGAGATTATTAACTTACTACGAGTTTCTGGGAATTAGTGTTGCTTTGTTTAACTTTTTTTTTTTCATTTCCTTATTATACACACACACATAAAAGAAATACTTTTCTCTCAAATAATGAGTTTTTGTTGGTAACTATTAAATAAAATGTGTGAGATGT